ATATATATATATATATATATATATATATATATATATATATATATATATATATATATATATATATATATATATATATATATATATATATATATATATATATATATATATATATATGTATATATAACAAATTTTAGTTAATTGGGGTATCGGTCCTGATGAGGGCTCAAATAAAAGGCTTTTGTGCTACACCAAGCTTTCGAAAATGTTTATTTTCTTCTTCAGGGGCTACAATATGAAAGCGGCTCTTAGTTATTTAATACTAAAGTCTTCTAGTTAAAGTACTTACTGCTACAGTGCCATTATAGGCCAACACCAAACTCATCCGGATAACAGAAAGAATCAAATACGACCGTTAATTATTATAACCGAGGGCAGCCATCTAGACGAAATTGTTGTTACATTTTATTTAAACGAATTTTACTTCAAACGCGAAACGCAAATGATGGAAAGGTTTTATTAATATGACTACCGCCAGCCGTCCAGTTTTTTTCCCTTCTTTTTTTCCTTTTGTTACCTCCTTTTTGTTTACAAGGCACCTAATGTATAGAGGCTTGGGACTATTTTTCTAAATTATAATTACATTGTGACGACACTATTATCAGCAAACGCAATTCGATTGACGGTTGGTTGTAAAGTTAAGACATTAGAGTAGATCACACTGAGGCCATCAATGTCAGATCTTTTATTGACCGATTTCGGTTCCAAGAAGATCTCCACCATTTCCAAAATTGCTCTTTTGTTGTAGTTGCTTTCTTTATGGAGAATTTTTGTTTCAACAAAGTTAACATCGTGATCCATTTGGTTAGAGTGTGTTGCTAATGAACAGGTGTTCTTATTGAGTCTGCAATCACTCTTGTGTGACGTAATTCTATCCTTAAGTACTCGCGATGTCTGTCCTATGTATACCTGATCACACTGATTACAGGGGATGCTATAAATTACTTCTGAATTCTTTTGTACCTCATCCTTATCTTTTAGTTTGCTAAAGACACTCCCCAATGTTTTTGTTTGTTTATATGCTATCTTAATATTTGTTTGTGCTCTCAGAATTTTTGTGAGTGTGGTCGTTAATTCTTTAATGTATGGCAATGAAAAATAAAAACATCTCAGATCGTCCATTTCTGGGCTATCTGAGTGGACGACCGTGTTCCGCGGGTTTGGAGCTCTTAGTGGGGTCGTGCTATATAACAATTTTTTAGTTAACCTACTTGGGTATGAGTTGTTAATCAGCATGTCGTAAAGCTTATTAAGATTTTTTTGTCTTAGTGATGGGTGAGAAATCCTCTCTATTCGTGTCTTTAATGCTATGACCAAATTTATTTTTGTTTTCGTTGTATGGTAAGAGTGGAAATTCATATATCTCCCCGAACTGGTCGGTTTTATGTACCAATCTAATATAACACGGTCGTCCACTCAGATAGCCCAGAAATGGACGATCTGAGATGTTTTTATTTTTCATTGCCATACATTAAAGAATCAACGACCACACTCACAAAAATTCTGAGAGCACAAACAAATATTAAGATAGCATATAAACAAACAAAAACATTGGGGAGTGTCTTTAGCAAACTAAAAGATAAGGATGAGGTACAAAAGAATTCAGAAGTAATTTATAGCATCCCCTGTAATCAGTGTGATCAGGTATACATAGGACAGACATCGCGAGTACTTAAGGATAGAATTACGTCACACAAGAGTGATTGCAGACTCAATAAGAACACCTGTTCATTAGCAACACACTCTAACCAAATGGATCACGATGTTAACTTTGTTGAAACAAAAATTCTCCATAAAGAAAGCAACTACAACAAAAGAGCAATTTTGGAAATGGTGGAGATCTTCTTGGAACCGAAATCGGTCAATAAAAGATCTGACATTGATGGCCTCAGTGTGATCTACTCTAATGTCTTAACTTTACAACCAACCGTCAATCGAATTGCGTTTGCTGATAATAGTGTCGTCACAATGTAATTATAATTTAGAAAAATAGTCCCAAGCCTCTATACATTAGGTGCCTTGTAAACAAAAAGGAGGTAACAAAAGGAAAAAAAGAAGGAAAAAAAACTGGACGGCTGGCGGTAGTCATATTAATAAAACCTTTCCATCATTTGCGTTTTGCGTTTGAAGTAAAATTCGTTTAAATAAAATGTAACAACAATTTCGTCTAGATGGCTGCCCTCGGTTATAATAATTAACGGTCGTATTTGATTCTTTCTGTTATCCGGATGAGTTTGGTGTTGGCCTATAATGGCACTGTAGCAGTAAGTACTTTAACTAGAAGACTTTAGTATTAAATAACCAAGAGCCGCTTTCATATTGTAGCCCCTGAAGAAGAAAATAAACATTTTCGAAAGCTTGGTGTAGCACAAAAGCCTTTTATTTGAGCCCTCATCAGGACCGATACCCCAATTAACTAAAATTTGTTGTTCAACTAGCCGGTCACGACTACCGTTTTGTGTATTTTACAGGAATGGGGTTTTTCCAATCAATAAAAGCTCGATATGGAAACGAAGCAGTTTCACTACTCAAACAATGGGCCAGGCTCGGCAGCAAACTATCATCGTTTGGAAACAGGAAGATATTCTTACTCAAATGCAGACAGACAGGGATCATACCGAGACACATTACAGACGGGACCAGAAATTTGGGCATGCTTTTGGATTTGACCGATGGACATATGGGGGACCGCATTCGGGATTTCAATACCAGGTTGAATAACAAATTAATTAATTTAGAAATATCACTCACTATTTCAACTATCAATCGTATAGAAAAATCACTGAAACAAGTAAGAGAGAAAGTTTTGACATTGATTCCGGGGGATGTTGTTGACGAATTTGGTAAAAGACAACAAGGGTCATGTGATAAAAAATTCAAAACCATCAAAAAAAAGAACATAAACAAATTTCAAAACTTGAAGTCGCAACAGCATCACTTAACAATCAAAACACAAGATAATTGGGTTAAGAATATTTCAGAGGTTGAGGTCCCGGATGATGTCTTGAGGTTTCTCTCTTTAGGTTCGAAATTTTCCGTGCCACCAAGATGCAATGAAATCTCAGTCAAACGTTTAATTGCTGATGTAGAAACTATAATTAAAGTTGTACCAGAGAACGCAAAAAATACTGTAAGAGCTAAGTTTACTAATGTATTGACTAATTTTTTAAAACAACCGGCAAAGCGTAGCTATATAGACATTTTGTTAAAAAAAACAAAAAAATTTTTTAAGGATCACGCTGAGTTGGTCGTTTCTAGGGCCGATAAAGGGAATGTGACAGTTATTATGTCTAAAGATACATACATTCAAAAATCAAACGAAATTCTGATGGATCGGACCTATTACGAGCGTCTCAGATGTGATCCTACATCTACTTACCAACAAAAAGCTAACAAACTTGTCAAATCATTAAAAGATCAAAAACAATTAACACATGAGGTAGCCAAAACTTTAAATATATATAATCAAACTTGTCCTAAATTTTATGGCTTACCCAAAATACATAAACCCCAATTGTCCTTAAGACCGATAATTTCATCAATTAATGCTCCGAACAGTAAACTGGCTTCATTGTTGACTCAGGTTTTAACCAAAGCATATAATAAGAATAATGATTATTTCACAGGTGATTCATTTGAGTTTTCTTCATTTATCAATGACAAACAATTACCTAGTAAGTATGTTCTTGTGAGCTTGGATGTCGTCTCTTTATTTAGTAATATTCCATATAATTTGGTAGAAAAAAGTATAAAAAAACATTGGAACAGAATTAGAAACCACACTGATTTGTCACAAATTAGTTTCCTAAAGATACTTCAGTTTGTATTTGATACAACGTATTTTAGATTTAACAATGAATTTTACAAACAAAAATTAGGTACACCGATGGGTGCCATCATTTCTCCAATATTAGCTCAATACGTTATGGATGACCTACTTGAGGTGTGCGTAGATAAGCTGTCGTTTCAGTTACCATTTCTGAAAAAATATGTGGATGATATAATTACTTCCATACCTGAAAGTTGCGTGAGGGAAACTCTCACAGTGTTTAACAGCTATGATGCACACATACAATTTACAGTAGAGGAGGAAATTGATAAAAGCGTACCATTTCTGGACACTAAAGTGATCCGGAACAACGATAACAAAATTATATTAGATTGGTACATAAAACCGACCAGTTCGGGGAGATATATGAATTTCCACTCTTACCATACAACGAAAACAAAAATAAATTTGGTCATAGCATTAAAGACACGAATAGAGAGGATTTCTCACCCATCACTAAGACAAAAAAATCTTAATAAGCTTTACGACATGCTGATTAACAACTCATACCCAAGTAGGTTAACTAAAAAATTGTTATATAGCACGACCCCACTAAGAGCTCCAAACCCGCGGAACACGGTCGTCCACTCAGATAGCCCAGAAATGGACGATCTGAGATGTTTTTATTTTTCATTGCCATACATTAAAGAATTAACGACCACACTCACAAAAATTCTGAGAGCACAAACAAATATTAAGATAGCATATAAACAAACAAAAACATTGGGGAGTGTCTTTAGCAAACTAAAAGATAAGGATGAGGTACAAAAGAATTCAGAAGTAATTTATAGCATCCCCTGTAATCAGTGTGATCAGGTATACATAGGACAGACATCGCGAGTACTTAAGGATAGAATTACGTCACACAAGAGTGATTGCAGACTCAATAAGAACACCTGTTCATTAGCAACACACTCTAACCAAATGGATCACGATGTTAACTTTGTTGAAACAAAAATTCTCCATAAAGAAAGCAACTACAACAAAAGAGCAATTTTGGAAATGGTGGAGATCTTCTTGGAACCGAAATCGATCAATAAAAGATCTGACATTGATGGCCTCAGTGTGATCTACTCTAATGTCTTAACTTTACAACCAACCGTCAATCGAATTGCGTTTGCTGATAATAGTGTCGTCACAATGTAATTATAATTTAGAAAAATAGTCCCAAGCCTCTATACATTAGGTGCCTTGTAAACAAAAAGGAGGTAACAAAAGGAAAAAAAGAAGGGAAAAAAACTGGACGGCTGGCGGTAGTCATATTAATAAAACCTTTCCATCATTTGCGTTTTGCGTTTGAAGTAAAATTCGTTTAAATAAAATGTAACAACAATTTCGTCTAGATGGCTGCCCTCGGTTATAATAATTAACGGTCGTATTTGATTCTTTCTGTTATCCGGATGAGTTTGGTGTTGGCCTATAATGGCACTGTAGCAGTAAGTACTTTAACTAGAAGACTTTAGTATTAAATAACTAAGAGCCGCTTTCATATTGTAGCCCCTGAAGAAGAAAATAAACATTTTCGAAAGCTTGGTGTAGCACAAAAGCCTTTTATTTGAGCCCTCATCAGGACCGATACCCCAATTAACTAAAATTTGTTGTTCAACTAGCCGGTCACGACTACCGTTTTGTGTATTTTACAGGAATGGGGTTTTTCCAATCAATAAAAGCTCGATATGGAAACGAAGCAGTTTCACTACTCAAACAATGGGCCAGGCTCGGCAGCAAACTATCATCGTTTGGAAACAGGAAGATATTCTTACTCAAATGCAGACAGACAGGGATCATACCGAGACACATTACAGACGGGACCAGAAATTTGGGCATGCTTTTGGATTTGACCGATGGACATATGGGGGACCGCATTCGGGATTTCAATACCAGGTTGAATAACAAATTAATTAATTTAGAAATATCACTCACTATTTCAACTATCAATCGTATAGAAAAATCACTGAAACAAGTAAGAGAGAAAGTTTTGACATTGATTCCGGGGGATGTTGTTGACGAATTTGGTAAAAGACAACAAGGGTCATGTGATAAAAAATTCAAAACCATCAAAAAAAAGAACATAAACAAATTTCAAAACTTGAAGTCGCAACAGCATCACTTAACAATCAAAACACAAGATAATTGGGTTAAGAATATTTCAGAGGTTGAGGTCCCGGATGATGTCTTGAGGTTTCTCTCTTTAGGTTCGAAATTTTCCGTGCCACCAAGATGCAATGAAATCTCAGTCAAACGTTTAATTGCTGATGTAGAAACTATAATTAAAGTTGTACCAGAGAACGCAAAAAATACTGTAAGAGCTAAGTTTACTAATGTATTGACTAATTTTTTAAAACAACCGGCAAAGCGTAGCTATATAGACATTTTGTTAAAAAAAACAAAAAAATTTTTTAAGGATCACGCTGAGTTGGTCGTTTCTAGGGCCGATAAAGGGAATGTGACAGTTATTATGTCTAAAGATACATACATTCAAAAATCAAACGAAATTCTGATGGATCGGACCTATTACGAGCGTCTCAGATGTGATCCTACATCTACTTACCAACAAAAAGCTAACAAACTTGTCAAATCATTAAAAGATCAAAAACAATTAACACATGAGGTAGCCAAAACTTTAAATATATATAATCAAACTTGTCCTAAATTTTATGGCTTACCCAAAATACATAAACCCCAATTGTCCTTAAGACCGATAATTTCATCAATTAATGCTCCGAACAGTAAACTGGCTTCATTGTTGACTCAGGTTTTAACCAAAGCATATAATAAGAATAATGATTATTTCACAGGTGATTCATTTGAGTTTTCTTCATTTATCAATGACAAACAATTACCTAATAAGTATGTTCTTGTGAGCTTGGATGTCGTCTCTTTATTTAGTAATATTCCATATAATTTGGTAGAAAAAAGTATAAAAAAACATTGGAACAGAATTAGAAACCACACTGATTTGTCACAAATTAGTTTCCTAAAGATACTTCAGTTTGTATTTGATACAACGTATTTTAGATTTAACAATGAATTTTACAAACAAAAATTAGGTACACCGATGGGTGCCATCATTTCTCCAATATTAGCTCAATACGTTATGGATGACCTACTTGAGGTGTGCGTAGATAAGCTGTCGTTTCAGTTACCATTTCTGAAAAAATATGTGGATGATATAATTACTTCCATACCTGAAAGTTGCGTGAGGGAAACTCTCACAGTGTTTAACAGCTATGATGCACACATACAATTTACAGTAGAGGAGGAAATTGATAAAAGCGTACCATTTCTGGACACTAAAGTGATCCGGAACAACGATAACAAAATTATATTAGATTGGTACATAAAACCGACCAGTTCGGGGAGATATATGAATTTCCACTCTTACCATACAACGAAAACAAAAATAAATTTGGTCATAGCATTAAAGACACGAATAGAGAGGATTTCTCACCCATCACTAAGACAAAAAAATCTTAATAAGCTTTACGACATGCTGATTAACAACTCATACCCAAGTAGGTTAACTAAAAAATTGTTATATAGCACGACCCCACTAAGAGCTCCAAACCCGCGGAACACGGTCGTCCACTCAGATAGCCCAGAAATGGACGATCTGAGATGTTTTTATTTTTCATTGCCATACATTAAAGAATTAACGACCACACTCACAAAAATTCTGAGAGCACAAACAAATATTAAGATAGCATATAAACAAACAAAAACATTGGGGAGTGTCTTTAGCAAACTAAAAGATAAGGATGAGGTACAAAAGAATTCAGAAGTAATTTATAGCATCCCCTGTAATCAGTGTGATCAGGTATACATAGGACAGACATCGCGAGTACTTAAGGATAGAATTACGTCACACAAGAGTGATTGCAGACTCAATAAGAACACCTGTTCATTAGCAACACACTCTAACCAAATGGATCACGATGTTAACTTTGTTGAAACAAAAATTCTCCATAAAGAAAGCAACTACAACAAAAGAGCAATTTTGGAAATGGTGGAGATCTTCTTGGAACCGAAATCGGTCAATAAAAGATCTGACATTGATGGCCTCAGTGTGATCTACTCTAATGTCTTAACTTTACAACCAACCGTCAATCGAATTGCGTTTGCTGATAATAGTGTCGTCACAATGTAATTATAATTTAGAAAAATAGTCCCAAGCCTCTATACATTAGGTGCCTTGTAAACAAAAAGGAGGTAACAAAAGGAAAAAAAGAAGGGAAAAAAACTGGACGGCTGGCGGTAGTCATATTAATAAAACCTTTCCATCATTTGCGTTTTGCGTTTGAAGTAAAATTCGTTTAAATAAAATGTAACAACAATTTCGTCTAGATGGCTGCCCTCGGTTATAATAATTAACGGTCGTATTTGATTCTTTCTGTTATCCGGATGAGTTTGGTGTTGGCCTATAATGGCACTGTAGCAGTAAGTACTTTAACTAGAAGACTTTAGTATTAAATAACTAAGAGCCGCTTTCATATTGTAGCCCCTGAAGAAGAAAATAAACATTTTCGAAAGCTTGGTGTAGCACAAAAGCCTTTTATTTGAGCCCTCATCAGGACCGATACCCCAATTAACTAAAATTTGTTGTTCAACTAGCCGGTCACGACTACCGTTTTGTGTATTTTACAGGAATGGGGTTTTTCCAATCAATAAAAGCTCGATATGGAAACGAAGCAGTTTCACTACTCAAACAATGGGCCAGGCTCGGCAGCAAACTATCATCGTTTGGAAACAGGAAGATATTCTTACTCAAATGCAGACAGACAGGGATCATACCGAGACACATTACAGACGGGACCAGAAATTTGGGCATGCTTTTGGATTTGACCGATGGACATATGGGGGACCGCATTCGGGATTTCAATACCAGGTTGAATAACAAATTAATTAATTTAGAAATATCACTCACTATTTCAACTATCAATCGTATAGAAAAATCACTGAAACAAGTAAGAGAGAAAGTTTTGACATTGATTCCGGGGGATGTTGTTGACGAATTTGGTAAAAGACAACAAGGGTCATGTGATAAAAAATTCAAAACCATCAAAAAAAAGAACATAAACAAATTTCAAAACTTGAAGTCGCAACAGCATCACTTAACAATCAAAACACAAGATAATTGGGTTAAGAATATTTCAGAGGTTGAGGTCCCGGATGATGTCTTGAGGTTTCTCTCTTTAGGTTCGAAATTTTCCGTGCCACCAAGATGCAATGAAATCTCAGTCAAACGTTTAATTGCTGATGTAGAAACTATAATTAAAGTTGTACCAGAGAACGCAAAAAATACTGTAAGAGCTAAGTTTACTAATGTATTGACTAATTTTTTAAAACAACCGGCAAAGCGTAGCTATATAGACATTTTGTTAAAAAAAACAAAAAAAATTTTTAAGGATCACGCTGAGTTGGTCGTTTCTAGGGCCGATAAAGGGAATGTGACAGTTATTATGTCTAAAGATACATACATTCAAAAATCAAACGAAATTCTGATGGATCGGACCTATTACGAGCGTCTCAGATGTGATCCTACATCTACTTACCAACAAAAAGCTAACAAACTTGTCAAATCATTAAAAGATCAAAAACAATTAACACATGAGGTAGCCAAAACTTTAAATATATATAATCAAACTTGTCCTAAATTTTATGGCTTACCCAAAATACATAAACCCCAATTGTCCTTAAGACCGATAATTTCATCAATTAATGCTCCGAACAGTAAACTGGCTTCATTGTTGACTCAGGTTTTAACCAAAGCATATAATAAGAATAATGATTATTTCACAGGTGATTCATTTGAGTTTTCTTCATTTATCAATGACAAACAATTACCTAATAAGTATGTTCTTGTGAGCTTGGATGTCGTCTCTTTATTTAGTAATATTCCATATAATTTGGTAGAAAAAAGTATAAAAAAACATTGGAACAGAATTAGAAACCACACTGATTTGTCACAAATTAGTTTCCTAAAGATACTTCAGTTTGTATTTGATACAACGTATTTTAGATTTAACAATGAATTTTACAAACAAAAATTAGGTACACCGATGGGTGCCATCATTTCTCCAATATTAGCTCAATACGTTATGGATGACCTACTTGAGGTGTGCGTAGATAAGCTGTCGTTTCAGTTACCATTTCTGAAAAAATATGTGGATGATATAATTACTTCCATACCTGAAAGTTGCGTGAGGGAAACTCTCACAGTGTTTAACAGCTATGATGCACACATACAATTTACAGTAGAGGAGGAAATTGATAAAAGCGTACCATTTCTGGACACTAAAGTGATCCGGAACAACGATAACAAAATTATATTAGATTGGTACATAAAACCGACCAGTTCGGGGAGATATATGAATTTCCACTCTTACCATACAACGAAAACAAAAATAAATTTGGTCATAGCATTAAAGACACGAATAGAGAGGATTTCTCACCCATCACTAAGACAAAAAAATCTTAATAAGCTTTACGACATGCTGATTAACAACTCATACCCAAGTAGGTTAACTAAAAAATTGTTATATAGCACGACCCCACTAAGAGCTCCAAACCCGCGGAACACGGTCGTCCACTCAGATAGCCCAGAAATGGACGATCTGAGATGTTTTTATTTTTCATTGCCATACATTAAAGAATTAACGACCACACTCACAAAAATTCTGAGAGCACAAACAAATATTAAGATAGCATATAAACAAACAAAAACATTGGGGAGTGTCTTTAGCAAACTAAAAGATAAGGATGAGGTACAAAAGAATTCAGAAGTAATTTATAGCATCCCCTGTAATCAGTGTGATCAGGTATACATAGGACAGACATCGCGAGTACTTAAGGATAGAATTACGTCACACAAGAGTGATTGCAGACTCAATAAGAACACCTGTTCATTAGCAACACACTCTAACCAAATGGATCACGATGTTAACTTTGTTGAAACAAAAATTCTCCATAAAGAAAGCAACTACAACAAAAGAGCAATTTTGGAAATGGTGGAGATCTTCTTGGAACCGAAATCGGTCAATAAAAGATCTGACATTGATGGCCTCAGTGTGATCTACTCTAATGTCTTAACTTTACAACCAACCGTCAATCGAATTGCGTTTGCTGATAATAGTGTCGTCACAATGTAATTATAATTTAGAAAAATAGTCCCAAGCCTCTATACATTAGGTGCCTTGTAAACAAAAAGGAGGTAACAAAAGGAAAAAAAGAAGGGAAAAAAACTGGACGGCTGGCGGTAGTCATATTAATAAAACCTTTCCATCATTTGCGTTTTGCGTTTGAAGTAAAATTCGTTTAAATAAAATGTAACAACAATTTCGTCTAGATGGCTGCCCTCGGTTATAATAATTAACGGTCGTATTTGATTCTTTCTGTTATCCGGATGAGTTTGGTGTTGGCCTATAATGGCACTGTAGCAGTAAGTACTTTAACTAGAAGACTTTAGTATTAAATAACTAAGAGCCGCTTTCATATTGTAGCCCCTGAAGAAGAAAATAAACATTTTCGAAAGCTTGGTGTAGCACAAAAGCCTTTTATTTGAGCCCTCATCAGGACCGATACCCCAATTAACTAAAATTTGTTGTTCAACTAGCCGGTCACGACTACCGTTTTGTGTATGTATATATATATATATATATATATATATATATATATATATATATATATATATATATATATATATATATATATATATATATAGTATATATATATATATATATATATATATATATATATATATATATATATATATATATATATATATATATATATATATATATTATATTATATATATATATATATATATATATATATATATATATATATATATATATATATATATATATATATATATATATATATATATGATATATATATATGTATATATATATGTATATATATATATATATATATATATATATATATATATATATATATATATATATATATATATATATATATATATATATATATATATATATATATATATATATATATATATATATATATTTGTCAATCCGCTGCAGTTGGATGAAGATGTAGAGTACGGTTTAGCGCTGATTGGATTCCACTCTTACAACAACATTCCCAACATAGATAAGGGTCCGAATAAATTTTACTACTTCGATAGTAACAATAGAGAAAACGTAATTGAAATTCCGACCGGGTCCTATGAAATTAGCGACCTACATTAACGAACATCTGCCAAAAAATAAGGAAGAGAAGAATACGATCCCACAGTTAATAGAGGAGATATCAATCAAACCCAACAATAATACGATAAAGTGTGAAATCTACAGCCCCGTATACGGGGTAAACTTTAAACAACACTCGGACAGTATCGGAAAATTGTTGGGGTTTTCACAGAAAATTTTGGAGCCCAATATTATGCATTCCTCAGATTTACCCGTGGATATAATAAAAGTGCGAACGATACATGTAGATAGTAACATAACTTCTGGAGCGTTCTACAACGACAGACCTTCGCACACAATTTACGAGTTTGCCTTGTCCGTCGATCCGGGGTACGCCATCGACGAAACTCCTAAATATCTAACATACTTGCCAGTAAACAAACGACAAATCTACAACATTACCCTACAGCTTCTGGATCAAAACTTTGAGTTGGTTAATTTCCGAGGTGAAGAAATCATCATTAGATTGGAACTTAAAAAATTAACGTAATGTTGATTTTCAACTCAATCGGAGCCGCTGGTGAATATAAAAAAGCGAACATCCAAACGGTAGGGTTAGTAACAAAACCGAGGCGTATCCGTAAAGGTCGTCTTACATTGAGCAACAAACAATTTCTCCGATCACTGGGCTACGATGTTATCGAATCAAATATTCGACATACACAGAAAGCCAAAATTTGATGAATCTATTCAGCGCGTGGAGATCCGCACCTATCATCCCTTTGTGAAATCTTTTTTGAACAACGACACCATTGAGATCACGATCAATCAAGGAGATGCCTGGCTGCTTATGTACGACGCTGCTATTTGCATTAAGGGATCGCTGAAACGTCCCACGGGAACCGACCAAGTGCAATTTGTAAACAATGCAGGAGCATTTTTTTTTTGAAACTATATCGTACGAGCTGAATGGGAAAGAAGTGGATGGCGTGCGTGATCCGGGTATAGTTAGTACGATTAGAGGTTATCTGTGTTACTCGAAAGATGACTCATCGCATCTGAATATTTCCGGCTGGAATTTCCCTGAAAATGCGATTCACGATACAGAAAATGGACATTTTAGCATGCGAATCCCGTTACGACACTTTTTAAATATATTTAATGATTATAATATGATAACTTGTGGAAAACAAACCATAAGATTGGTAAGAGCCAGACATGACAAAAATTGTATGATAATTAAACCAATGGACGGTGTTGCGGCCAGTGCAATTAAAACAACAGCGGAATTAAAAATTGATTGTGTCGATCTTAGGGTCAAGCACATATTTCCAAACGACGAAAACAAAATTGGCTCTGCTGAAATCGATTAGATTAGATCAACCCATATTGATACCCTATAGACGATGGGAACTTCATGAATATCCTGCCCTAACCGCGGGATCTACAAAAGAAATTTGGTCTGTCAAGACGTGCGCGGCTATCGAAAGCCCCCGATACGTAATAGTCGCTTTTCAAACAAATCGCAAAGACAACGAAGCGAAAAATGCGACGTTTTTCGATCACGTCGACGTAACGGATATAAGATTAACACTAAACGGAGAATATTACCCTCACGAACGATACTCAGCATCGCTGATGGTAACGATCCTCAACAACCTCCGAAGCCAAGTCGAAGACCCCTGCTCCCGATGCAACTCAAATCATTAACTCCGAAAAGGCGGACTAGCATCCACCCAGAAGTAACTACCCGAGAAGCTACGCTTTAATTAGTCTACGAAAAGCTGCAGCTAGGCTCCACCTTTTCACTTAATGGGGGAGTTGTTATATCCGGAAATCCTATTGTCCACATGGGTCAGATGCCACCGACCTGCAAGAGTGCAACGATTGCGAAAACGTCGTGCCAACGATATGTCGCAACATCCGCAGCCGTCGACCCCGTCAACGTCAGCATAAATTTATTATAAATACTAATTTCTATTGTAAAACCGGGGTGATAACATTATCTCATCGCGAGGTTATTATGTCCATTTTTACTTTGATTTTAACTGACTGATAACATTCTCTCATTACGAGGTTATTATGTCCATTTTTACTTTGATTTTAACGGTCTGATAACATTCTCTCATCACGAGGTTGTTATATCCATTTTTACTTTGATTTTAACGATCTGATAACATTCTCTCATCGCGAGGTTATTATGTCCATTTTTACTTGTGTTTTCACGGTCTAATAACATTCTCTCATCACGAGGTTATTATGTCCAATTTCATTTTGATTATAAATTTGATTTAAAGTTAATAAATATATATATTTTTTAAATCTATTTTTGAAAAGTGAAATATAATATATATATATATATATATATATATATATATATATATATATATATATATATATATATATATATATATATATATATATATATATCCTCACGTATTGATTCACGGATGGAAAAATGTGATGACACTATATTCCGGGATATCATCCGTTCGCTCGTTGAACTCCTTCTGGAATCCTGCATCCGACTGGAATCCTGCAAATCCTGCATCCGACTGGAATCCTGCAAATCCTGCATCCGACTGGAATCCTGCAGACGTTTCACCAGAATCTCACTGGGCATCTTCAATGATCGCGCTCCGAAAACACTTCGAACACTAGGAGGTTATCGGCGGTGCGTGCGGTATTTATACTCTGCGCCGGAGATGGTAACGGTGCTGCTTGTGCGTGGGGGGAGGTGGCTCCGCCCCCTGAATTGTCGCGTTGTTAATTTCGCCCGATCGTAGTTGCGATGTCCCCGTTGACTGCTGCGCATCGCTGTGCTGTTTGATTATCGTTCTCCACGTGTTGGATAAATGCAGACCGTCGTCTCTCGTATTGAGGTGTCCGGACTTTTCTATTTCGATGGCCTCTCGTATATTCCTAGTCCTAAAATCAGGAATATTAGCTATTTGTTTGCAAGTGCCGAAATCAATTTTATGGCCTGTCTGATGTTGGTGCTGAAACAAAGCAGATGTTGTTTGTTTGTTTCTTATGGCTAAACGATGTTCCTCGAGCCTGGCTGAAATCCTTCTGTTGGTCTGTCCCACATACGTCAGGCTGCACGATCCGCACGCTACACTGTATACTCCTTGGTTTTCCAGAGTAATTTTTTGTTTTGGATTTCTTAGTATTGCTCCGATGGTATGGTCAGGTTTGTATGCCGTTGATATGTCGTATTTCCGTAATATTCGGCCGATTTTGTCAGTAACCCCCTTGATGTATGGCAGGACAGCGATCGATCTTCGTTGGGTCTCGTCCTGCACTCTCTGCTGCGGCTGTTGTTGTTTACTGATTGCCTTGCTGATGGTGCGCCTTTGGTATCCGTTTTGTCGAAGACAGGTACTAATTTTCTTCAGTTCTTTATCTCTGTTCCTCTCGTTTGTGAGCCTGAAGGACCGAGCAATTAATGTATTTGCCACTGCCTGTATCTGTGATGGGTGGTGATGAGATTTAGCGTTCAGATATTTATTAGTGTGTGTTGGTTTTCTATAGACAGTGTGTTCCAAGTGCCCAGCTTCGGTCCTTGTGATGTGCACATCTAAAAAGGGCAGACTGTTATCCTCTTCAAGTTCTATTGTAAATTGAATCCTTGGGTGAATGGAATTCAGATGATCTAGGAATTTCAAAAGCTCCTCCTTGCCAAAAGGCCATACAACAAATACGCCATCAACGTATATTGTCCATAGCTTTGGCTTCAGATTTGCCTTCTCTATTGCTTTCTTTTCGAAGTAAATCATGAAGAGGTTGGCAATCACAGGTGAGAGAGATGATCCCATTGCTGCTCCATCTATTTGTCGGTAAATTTTCCCGTTGTACATAAAGTAAGCGTTTTTCAGGCAATGTCTTGACAGATCCATTATGTATGGCGGAAGATCTTCGTTTTCTTCTATAAGCAAGAGTGCCTCTTCTACTGGAATACTCGGGTAGAGGGATTTGACATCGAAACTTGCCATAATGTCGTCCTTGTCCATCCTGAGAGAACCTAAAATCTGAGTGAAATGTTCTGAGTTTTTAACATAGGAATCTGCCTTTTCCACTATAGGCTGAAGTGCACTGGCCACATTTTTTTCCAGCTTGCATAATGTTGAGTTAAAGGCGCTTACGATTGGACGCAGGGGAACCCCGTCCTTATGGATCTTTGGGAGCCCGTAGAATTTTGGGCAACGACTCGATTTTTCCCTCGGAATAAGTTTCTTCTTTGTATCCTCGTTTATTGATGAATCGAGAATTTTGGACTTAGTTGTTTTTTCCAAATATGTCGTGGGATCTCTGGTGACTAGTTTGTATATTGGGTCGTTCAAAATATCCTCCAATTTTGCATTATAATCCGACGTATTCATGACGACAGTGGCATTTCCTTTGTCTGCTGGCATTATTAGAATGTTTTCGTTTT